GTTTTGCAGGGTATAATAGTATAGGCTGGAATTTGTTTTCATGGAGGACTTGAAGTACTCTGCTCCATGTTATTCTTGCCTTCATGGTTTGTGAAGAGATGTCGGCCGTAATTCTGATGGGTTTTCCTTTGAATGTGATCTGCTTCTTTTCTCTAGCGGCTTTCAGTAGATTATTCTTGTACTTAATTTCTGGGATCTTGACTATTATATGTCTCGGTGTGTTTTTCATTGGGTTGAGGTGACTTGGTGTCCTGTATGCTTCGGTTCCCTGAACGTCAGATTGTTTCCTCATATTTGGGAAGTTTTCTGCTATTACTTATACCCATATATTTTTAATGTCATTTGTATTGACTCCTTCTTTTTCATTGATACTTACTAGTCTCACATTGTTCATCTTTGCATCGTTTTGCAAGTGATGGATTACTTTTTCCTGCATCCTAGTTGTTTTTAAGAGATCTTTTCTTATCTTTTCACTAGATGCACCAGTGTCTTCAAGATCTGAAACTCTGTCTTCACTTTCACTCAAACGGTTCTGCAAGCTTGTGACTGAGATTTTAATTTCCTCTATATCTCTTTGATTTGCTTCATGCGATGTATTTCTTTCCTGTATTGCTCATTCAAGGAATCTGTCATTTTTCTAATCTCCTCTATTTTTTTACCAATGTCTTCTTTAGAAGCAGTTATTAATTCTTTTACTGCAGAGGTTTTTTTCAGATTGGGTTTCCTCCATATGTTTCTGTATTTGATTCTTTACTTCAGATGCTATGAGTTCATGAATTCTTTTTTATTTCAGAAAAGAATTCCACTCTGAGTTCCTCTATAACTTTCTGCTGTTGCTCATTTACTTTCGACACTATTAATTCATATATTTCAGCTGAGCTAGTGTCCCTTGCACTTGTTCTGGGTGGGCACTGGGCTTCCTCCATATGTTTCTGCATTTAATTCTTTACTGTAGATGCTATTAATTCAGGGATTTCTTTTTTCATTTCCAATCTGAGTTCCTCTATACCTTTCTGCAGTGGTTTCCTTTTGTTTCAGAAGCTGTTGATTCATTGATTTCAGCTGTGTGATTCCCAATTTGTTCTGTGTTAGTGTCCTCTGTACTTGTTATGGGTGGGCTTGGGGTCTGAGATTACATTTTGCTTCTTTTCGTGATATCATTTTGTGTAGCACTTTCTTCTGACCTTTGTTGTAGAGCTTTGTTGCAGTTATAACCTTATCACCTACTGAGATTCAGGTGCAGATCTACAAAATTTGGATTTATCCAGCTGTGCCTGGCTTGGGTCTGGCTGCTTTGCTCAGCACCTTCCTGCTGCCGCCCTTGGGAGTGAACCTGTTGTGCTCCTCTGGCAAGATGTTCTGCCCCTGGACTAGCTGGGTGGTTCTGTCCCCTACTCTCTCTGCAAGGACTGCAGCTGCAGAGTTTCGCCCCAGGTCTGTATGCTAGGCCTGAGCTGAGTCTGAAGGAGACAAGATGGAGTAGCGGGGAGAGGAAGCTCTTCCACACATTCACTGGGCCTGGGTTAGGACTGCATCTAGGGGTCCTGAGAAGGCAGCAGAATTTCTCACTCATTGAGCAGGAGTGGAGGGTACTGTAGAGTGGTGGTGGCGGTCCCAAGGGGGTAGAAGAGGGTCTCACCCACTTGCGCCTGGGCTTGGACCGGACAGGTCCCCCAGGCGCAGGCTAGCTGAAAGCTCTCCTATACACTCACTGGGCCTGGGCTATGGCTGGATCTGGGGGTCCCTAGAATGTGGCAGAAGTTCTCACTCAGTGGGTGAGGGTGGGTGCTGCAGAGTTGTGGGGGTGGTCCCAAGGGCGTGGAAGAGGATTTCACCCATGCTGCGCCTGGGCTTGGACCGGACAGGTCCCACCCGCACAGGGCAGCAGGAAGCTCTCCCACACACTCATCGGGCCTGGGCTAGGGCTGGCCAGATGCTCCATGTTTAATGATCCATTTGACAGCTGTTCAGACTTAGGACCCATTGCTCAGACTTACACACATATTTTTTTTGGTACAGCTTGGTGCACCTTGTTTATAGAGACTCTATGTCTTTTTTTTTAGTCAGTATATCTCGTTTAAGTAATACTGTTAATTTTTTACTGATTGTACTGTACATTGCTGTAGTTTTATGTTCTGCTATATATGTTCTGCTATGCAGTAGTTATGCAAATAAAAGCAAAAATCATCAAGGTAAAGTTTCTTCCAACCATTTTTTTCTGAATATTTTAGTATATAAACTATATACAAATATTCATTTAGCAACCAATTCTTTTTGTTTGTTTGTTTGTTTTGGTTTTTGTATTTAGTACAGGATCTTCAGGGTCTACAGAGTCTCATTATGTAGATTGGGATCATAGTGATCCGCCGTGTTCAGCCTCCCAAGAGCTAGGATGACAGGCACGCGACATCACACCCACTCTTAATTGTCATCTCAGCGAGCTCCAGGGGCGAGGCCAGCATGGCATGCTGGGGATTGAACCCCAGCTGCTGCGCTCTGCCTAAGCAGGCACTTTAATCCACTGAGCTATTTGGTGAGCCCAAGTGACCAATTCTTTTAATGACCTAGTCATGGGAACTGAACTTGTTTGTAACACTAGGAATGTTTATAATTTATCATTTGTCCAACTGGAGTCTCAAATTATCTTTTTTCCTTGGGCAAAATTAAGTTTTGCTGCTCTTTCAACAAAATCATTAACTTATTAAAACAACTCCCTAACTATAGTGTATGTTAGCATAAAAGAAGTCTTGAGTCTTCCTGTTAGTCAAGGTAGAAAAGCACATGTTCATCCAAAAGCTACCTCAAGTAGTTCTAGTGGAACAAATTGTTTCATGTCTCAAAAAATAGGATGGTCTGCATTATATGCCACTAAAAACAGGATAATTACCATGATTCCATAGGTATAAAGTCTTATATAAGCTTTAAAGAGCCATCAAAAGTTTAGGAACTGTACTGAGTACATGCAGACTGAAAAGTTTCTGTCTGTGGTAACAGATTTAAACATTTTTTTAAGCAAGTTACTTAGGAAAAATAAAAAATATGGAGCAAGAGTCAACAATTAACTCTAAAACTGGCAGACGGAAGAGGAGTAGGAGCAAAAGCAAGAAAAAACATCAATGTTTCTATATAATGAAGTGATATATGGAATTTTAAGGAGACACAATCAATCTTAGATGCATAAACAACTGGTTGAACTTAATTTAAAGTTTAATTCTGCACTTATTTTTCCCAAGGAATTACATAGTAAGAAAAAAGGAAAATTACAGAACCATCACACAAACCAGGAAAATATTCAGAAATAAAGTATCTCTTTCTAGTACCTTTTCCAGCTTTCAGCAATTAATCTATCCAAAACCAGAGGGATAAAAAAAATTTGTTGGTACAGTTTTGAAGAATTAAAAACCATCAGCACTAACAACAGTATAACACTAGGTAACAATGTTTGCTTCTGTAATTTAGTATATATACTTTAATAAAGCAGACCTAAGAAATGTACTTACCACTAGCCTCTAACAATAGATGGTGCCAAAAGACTGGCAAAAATTAACTACTTTAAAACAGCAGAAAGCTTACAAAAACACTTTGGTACAGAAAAAAAGTACATACCAATGCCCACCATACTTCACAACAAAAAGTATCTATGAAAGAGCAGTAGAGCACTTTGGCCACAGATTCACATGCAATGACCTCCCTACTCCATTAAACACTTATCAACAGGTCGGGCCAAGAGACAGCTCAGCAGAATAAGCGCTTCCCTGGCAAGCGCAAGGGTCTGACGTCAATCCCCAGTTCCACAGAAAAAAAAAAAAAAAACTTACCAAGAACACCTCTTTAAGTACTACTGTCCCAAGTAAATTAACACATCATTAAAAAAAAAAAATGGGTAAGATCTTTTCCACTTATAAAATTCTACAATTTCACAGTGAATTTTAGGACTTCAAAATGCTCAATCCACTATCTTTTTTTAACAACATACATGGGAAAAAAACAAACCATAAGTCTTTGCTGAAAGAGGCTACAGGAAACTCAATTACTTACTACAAAAAAAGAATTAAAATATGAATGAAAGTCATTTGTGAGAGTTCTGGTCCCAACATGTTTTGAAGCCATGCAGCAAATGTACATTTATATATTGGCTGAAAGTACATATTCTACAAAGGACTAAAGAAGAATCAGTAACAACTGAAATCTATGCACTATCAACCTCATTAGAAGTTACCTGGTGGTAAATCAGGATCTGTAGGAGCAGTCTGCTGAATTCTTCGGGGTTTTAGTGATGATTTTGTATTCTCAGTAGTACTACGATTAGTAGAATTAGACCCACAACTGTCATGATCATCCTATTGATATTTTTAAAAAAGGAAAGAGAAACACACCAATTACATTTGAGACCCAGGAATATATGCAATATAAGCAGCTTAGGTGCAATATACACAGTTTATGAATACTAAGAACACATAGATTTCTAACTTTATTCTTTAGCCCTAAAAATCTACACAATGTAATCAGATTTTATAATGTCCATTTTCAAACAGCATTTTAAAAATAAGCAATAGATTAAATTCTTGCTCTTATCTACGGCTTTTGCAAAAAAAAAAAAAAAAAAAAAAAGACTGTTGGAAGCTCTTAAAAATTGCCACCTGTAAACACAAAACGAAAAAGAGAGGATCTTAATATTCTATGAACTGTTCATATGTTAAGCTCCTCACTATTTCAACTCAAAACTATCTTCTTGGTCAATTTGAATGATTAATCTTAAACATAATTAGAGTCTTTGGTACCTTACTTAACAATGGTTACCAATTATTCGTATTAGAAATAAAG